TATATATATATATATATATATATATATATATATATATACATATATATATATATATCCTAGAAGCCTAAGTGGTTGCTAGGTAGTTGCTAGGGTGAGTGGTTGCTACAGTAGGTGGTTGTTAAGGTGTTCTGAGTAGTTGCTAGGTCATACAATGTCACACAGTTGGTAACACCCAAAGTTAATAGGCAATATTGTATTATAATAAACAAATTATGCTGTTTAAAGCCTTTTGACTCATACACTGTCTCCAGTGAGTGTGTTATTTCGAGGTGTGAGATATTTGCATGCTAGTTTCAGCTTGTGTCTACAAATACAGCCTGCAAAGTAAAGATAGTGGCACCTAGTGTGTGTTGTTGATGTTAATGATATTAATGATTAATGGTATGGTATTTTTGGAATCATGTTAGTTTATTTTTTACACTATTAAATAAAGTGAGTCTGATGTTCCCGAAGCCTTCATTGATGCCCAGCAAGTGAAACTGCTGTTCTTATTGCTTCACAGCACTTCCCTACAAATATGACGCCCTCAATTTGAGGTTTAATATTTCATCCTGTGTTTTCGTCCCACTGGAATACTTTAAAATTTGATAGACTCGTAGTTCAAACAGACGACGGCTTTTGTGAGCTCACACGTCACCGCCGCCTCCTAAAATAGCGCCGCTCGTTTCCTGCAGTCTTACAATGTTGGCTGAGATGCCGCACAGCAGGTTCTTCAACCGCAGCTGACAGGTATTACAATATTCTGATTTTAATAGATTTGATTTAAAGGCAGCATGCAGATATTTGGTTGAGTGATGTTTAAATTGATTATAAGAAGGCTAGGTTTTACTTTTGAAGTCAAATGGAGCTTTAATATGTTTTGACTGGGACATGATTGGTTGTGGATTAGCGAGCATACTCTATTGTGTCTGTCCTTTATACATTTATTATTGTTTATATTATTTTGTTGCATAATATTTTTCACGTATTTTTTAATTGAGCTTACTGACTACTCAAACTTTGAATGTGCTTAATTATAAGTTATAAATGTATGAAATGTATTTATATCTTGGCATATTAAATATTCTTCTATTCTTATTGCGTACATTTATCTTTTTTTTTTTTTTTTACAAAATATATGTTATGCGTCTGTTTATATATATATATATATATATATATATATATATATATATATATATATATATATATATATATATATATATACCCACTGGCCACTTTATTAGGTACACCTGTCCAACTGCTCATTAACGCGAATTTCTAGTCAGTCAATCACATGGCAGCAACTCAATGCATTTAGGCATGTAGACATGGTCAAGACGATCTGCTGGAGTTCAAACTGAGCATCAGAATGGGGAAGAAAGTTGATTTAACTGACTTTGAATGTGGCATGGTTGTTGGTACCAGACAGACTGGTATTTCAGAAAATGCTGATCTACTGGGATTTTCACGCACAACCACTCTAGGGTTTACAGAGAATGGTCAGAAAAAGAGAAAATATCCAGTGAGCGGCAGTTCTGTGGGTGCAAATGCCTTGTTGATGCCAGAGGTCAGAGGAGAATGGCTAGACTGGTTCCAGCTGATAGAGAGGCAACAGTAACTCAAATAACCATTTGTTACAACCGAGGTCTGCAGAAGAGCATCTCTGAACGCACAACACATTCATCCTTGTGGTGAATGGGCTACAGCAGCAGAAGACCACTCCTGTCAGCTAAGAACAGGAAACTGAAGCTAAAATTCACACGGGCTCACCAAAATAGACAATAGATGGTTCAGGCTGCTGGTGGTGGTGGTGTCATGGTGTGGGGGATATTTTCTTGGCACACTTTGGGCCCGTTAGTGTCAATTGAGCATTGTATCCTGTCAACACCACAGCCTACCTGAGAATTGTTGCTGTCCATGTCCATCCCTTTGTACAGTGTACCCATGTTCTGATGGCTACTTCCAGCTAGATAACGCAGCATGTCATAAAGCGCAAATCATCTCAAAGTGGTTTCTTGAACATTATATTGAGTTCTGACCTCCACAGTCACCAGATCTCAATCCAATAGAGCACCTTTGGGATGTGGTGGAACGGGCGATTTGTATGATGGATGTGCAGCCGACAAATCTGCAGCAACTGTGTGATGCTATCATGTCAATATGAACCAAAATCTCTGAGGAATTTTTTTCAGTACTTTGTTGAATCCATGCCATGAAGGATAAAGGCAGTTCTGAAGTCAAAAGGGGGTCCAACCCAGTGCCAGTAAGGTGTACCTAATAAAGTGGCCTGTATATATATATATATATATATATATATATATATATATATATATATATGCTGTAAAATAATCTTATACACACACACACACATGTATGTATATGTATGTACATGTATGTATGTATACCCACCCTGTATATTAAAATACATATAGGGGGTCCAACCCAGTGCCAGTAAGGTGTACCTAATAAAGTGGCCGGTATATATATATATATATATATATATATATATATATATATATATATATATATATATATATAAATATATATATATATATATATATATATATATATATATA